TCCTGTGAAAAGAGAAGTCCAAAAGGCTCTCCTCAACATCCTATGTTTCGACGATAAGTCAGTTTAATTACAATTCTCTCCGAGTCGTTCCTCGTATAATGTCGCTGTACGAATTACATAACGTTCTGATGATCGTCAACTTTTTTCCAGCACGATATAGTCAGTACTTCACATGAGTAGTTAATAACTACACATTCAATCAGTTCAATTCAATACACTTACGTACTAGAATTATCGGCTCATTGTTGATATGATAGTGAGTAAATGAATTTCGATTATAGGCGCATCATCTACTGAGATCATTAGACCTTTGAATGTAGGGTAGGTTACATCCTGGGAGGTGGCGGAGTTACTCTCCGACGGACAGCGAACGTGAGACCCGGCCGAAGCTAAGCACGCACTGAGTAGGTGCGGCACGAACCGAAGGTATGGCACAGACCGCATTGTTTCTATGGGTTGCGTGCACTTGGCAGCAACGGGATGGAACGCACGGCATGAAACGCACGGCATGAAACGCACGGCATGAAACGCACGGCATGAAACGCACGGCATGAACGGCACGGGCATGAAACCGCACCGGCATGAAACGCACGGATGAAACGCACGGGATGAACGGAGGGGACGAAAAAGCGACGGGACGAAAGGGACGGGACGAAAGGGACGGGACGAAAGGGACGTCATGAAAGGGACGGCATGAAAGGGACGGCATGAAAGGGACGGCATGAAAGGGACGGCATGAAAGGGACGGGATGAAACGGACGGGATGAAACGGACGGGATGAAACGGACGGGATGAAACGGACGGGAAATGAAAGGGAAGGACGAGACGGTCCCTTTGAAGTTAGTTTGGCCCCTTGCTCCGTATCTTGTATTGTGAGCGACGGCTTCATAATGTTATGTAAAGAAGTAATTGGGTTGTGTTCACTTTTAATTGCGAAAGAAGAAAATGACGCAAAGAGTTGAAGAAACGAAAGGAGAATTTCACTGGATATATCCAGTCCTGGTTGAAAATGAAAAAAATGTTTTATGATGTCTCATAATAAATTTTAAGTTCCATCAAATATTTTGAATGGAAAACTACCAAGAGAACTGACAAATTTGAGAGAGCAAATACAATCTAAGGAGAGTAAGCATTCAGCTTGTGGCAAGTGAACACATTTATTGTAAAAAAACGTGTTGCTCGCATAATTAAAAAAAGACCAAATCAAAGCTATTTCATGGAAATGGAAAATAATCCACCGTGTGTGACACGACCCTTATCGTATTCTACTAACGAGAATCATGTGTAACGGAAGTATATTTAAAATATAAGTACAATCGCATTAGTAACAGGTAATTAAACAATCCTAAACATAATTCTTTAACGTTTCCATTATGATATTAAAGTAATGTTTCATTTGTCCAAACATTTGTCGTGTTAGTATGAGTTTTAGTACTATCAAGTTTCCAAAATCATCAACTTTCTTGTATTAATATTTACGAAACTATTTCATAAAAGTATGTCAATACTTTTTTCATGGAACTACACATTACACATTACGCTTTTCGGTAGCCTATGACTAACGGGACCTCAAGTGTGTTAAGTAGAAGTATTACCGGTAACATGAAGGTTGTTTGTAACAACCTTAGTTCGAAAAAAAAGAGATTTTGAGATATTGAAACTGTTGTTATATTTTCATGGCCTCCATTTTCTGACTGTGTTGTGAAAAAATTAGCCGCTCTGCGCAGTTTTAGCTCCGAAATTTGAGTGATTTTGATTAAAGAACCATAGTCCAGAGAATTCTTTCGGTAAAAAAACCATAGTAATTTAAATGCAAGTTTTCTCCGCGATTATTTCTCAAGCTTAACTTATCTCACTCTGCAACGGGTGATGTTTTTTTTGTGAATGTGGTTATTCTTCATAAACAGTATTTTTGTTCTGGACGTTGCATCATAGAGTATATCCTGTTTTTGTGGCACGTACGTCCTTTGTCTCGTAAATTTGAACAAGCAAAGGAGAAAGTAACAGCTAAGAAATGGATTTTACGTCAGATGTACAAACAACAGAGTGGAAGAGACGTAAATCAAAGAAAGAGAGGAAAGAGGATGTAGTAGGAGCAAAGAAGGTTAAAAGAGAAGTACATGTTAATCACAGAGAAATTAGACTTACAGAACTTCAGAAGTTATCTAAATATTTACAGTCGTCAGCTAACAGAAATTTGTATCTAAATTTGTCATCAGTGGCAGATGCTAATGTGGGAAACGAAAACGCTAATTATAATGATAACAGCAATCGCGAAGAAAAATAAGTTGGTTAATAATATTTAAAATTGATTAAGTGCATTAACTTCTAATACTATTTCTTCAATTATTGAAATATTACTGCCCCAAATAAATAATTTTGAATTAAAAATTTCCCAATGAAAAAAAATTACCATAGCGCATTCACACCCCACTTTATCCAATAATTTCCACAATACAGTTCACGTTTGAACTACACTCACGCGTACATCAGTATTTACAATAACTTGATGATAGTATTTACAATAGAATCAGTATACCAATTTCGTCATGGAACGTTTTTCCGCTCTCCTGATATATTGTGGTTTTTGGACTATGTCGGCTCTTTATTACCTGAAGGGCCGAATTTTAATTTATTGGAGCCCAGGGAAAAACACTAATACCACTAAAAAAATTACAATTATATTATTTATGGGACACTATCACAGTTACATTAATTTATTTAAAAACCCAAAGCACGTGCTCGGACTCGCTAATCATCGCTTGTCATCGAAACTGACGGAACGGCACGTCAGAATGTCAAAAAGATATTTCCTTCTGCCATTTTGTAAATAGCGAAAGGTGTTGGTCGTCTCGTCCCTAACGTTATCACCTAATATGCGCACCCTTATGGTAAATAATGTAATCGTCTTTCAAAATCTTCCGTCGTGCCATACGGACCTAGTGCGCGCCAGACTCTGCACGTCGACTTGAAGGATATCCCGCTCCAGATATTTCTCCCAACGGGGCCCTGCACCAGCGGAGACAAGCTTTAATTCCAGTTCGGCTTCGCGGTACGTGTGGTAGTGTAGTGTATGTAAATGTTTTTGTGTGTGTGCGTGTGCTTGTGTGAGTAATAAAAGAGGAGAGGTGGGGGACAAAGATGAAGAAGGAAATATTGAGAGAGAACCACGGTTGGTCTTTTAGGTTACTGAAATTCGCCCGTTCATTATCGGATTAACCATGGAAAACTACCGATCAGAGCAGTCGATCGCCACAATTCTCCTGTACGAGTAGACCGTGCCAGAATTCGACTCAGCGGTGTAGCCAGAACCGTCGGGACTTCAACCCCTGTCAACAATGCTGCAAAGGGAACGATGTTGCTGGCTGACGTACCGCAGCCGATGTGTGGCTGTAAGAAGTAGGGATGCGACAACGATGTTTTATGATCGAGGATTTTTTTCTTTTCCGACGTTTTGTTTCTGAATGAAAAATTCCCATGATCACAATGCTGTAAAAATTTGAAATAATAACAGAGGGTCCATGTGTTGCAACCAAAGAAGCGGCACAACCTTAATCGAACAAACTCTCTCACCAGAGATGACCTCTATGCCATTGTATTCTCTCCTTTTTCGTATTCATTTCGCGCATTGAAATGTGGGTAACAAATACGCTGTGGCGATAGGCTCTCTTTCTCGTACCATTATTCGGCGAATTGATAAACACGAACACTCAAATTAAATTTTAATGCACACAAATTTAGTGTTAGAGGTTACTAAAACAGGCAAGGCATTGATGTTAAATAACGTCGATAGTTTTTACTCCATGTTTTTAAATATGTCGCAGAAGATGCCGTAAGAAATGCTGGCAGATGTATGGGCTGGAAATGTTCATATGAAAGCAATCCTTTGCGCGAAATGCACCTGTGCGTGCTCCGCCACCTCTGAATTAATATGAAGAGTGGCGAGTCTGTGCGATAACGGTGTAAACGAGGAGAATCAGGAATTGTTTTCAGACATATAACACACACACACACATTTATTTTGTATTCTTCGTCATTATATGTACGTAATTAATCGTACGTAATACATAAAGCGTGAATTTTTTGGTAGACGAAAATAGCGCGAATGATAACACGATAATTGACGTGAAAAAATCATAAGAGAGATGATCAACTAAATAAGCATACTTAACAAAATACTGAGACTCATGGAAAAGTGGAAAACGGACTCTTCTATTTCGTAATTGATCACAATTCACGAATTACAGAAATAAATACAAAAGAAAAGAAAAACTAATTTATGAATATTTGAAAGGGCAATTAATATGTGGTCATTTCTTAAATTAAAAATTGTGGTCATTTCTAAAAAGTAGTAATACTAAAGTTTCATAAAAAAAGTTAAAGTTTAACTTTCAGGTTAGAACAGTTACCAACAATATATATGCTATATGAATGCATGTTTTCTTCAAAAATGTTAAACTGAGTTTGAAGGAGTAAAAAAATCTTTAAATTAATTGTATGTCATACCATAAGCTATTTTTTTATTGAAGGGAATCAGAGGTTTATTAAAAAACGCCACGTCACAGTTTCATTGTTTGGAAGCGAGAACGGCTATTCAAATCGCGCGCCATTGCGCAGTTGCTCAGATGACCCGACTCGGCAGCCATGTACCTGCATGTTATGATGCCCTAATACCGATTTCTTCATAAAATTCTCGTTGTATTTTTAGGGTGCGTCTCCGGATGGAGGCACGAACAAAGAAACCAAAAGCTCGCGAAAGAAACGAGCCCAAGAAAAGACGCTGGCAAAAAACTCCTGCGGCGGGGAAGCCGCCCGCAGACGAGCGCGCGCTATTAGGACGTCATGGCGGCCAGGAGGTGTGTGGACCGCGGAGGTCGGTCCCAGGGCGTGCGCCGCGCCCGGGAAACCCGCTCCAAGGACAGGGGCCGGTCTGCGGCCCGCCGGCGGACCGAACGCCCGGCGCGCCGCCAGAGCACGGCCTTGCCGGTGGCTTGCCGTACCGTAGCTTGCCGCGGCGCGGCGCGCCCTTGGGGGACGGACCCGAGTAGCCGCCGCAGTGGAAGGGCAGGCAGGCAGGCAGCGGCTGTGCCCGGGCGGTGGGCGCGGCGGCCGCCAAGCGCTGCACAAGATGCGCGGGAGCTCATCGCGCCGGAGGGCCTCCGCGGGCGGTGGTGGGGGCCCTGCGCCTAAGTGTTTAGGGACAAGCCGCTGGTTGTCGCAGGAAACAAAGCCGCTTCCCCTGATTTGGGTCGAGGGCGCAATATTAGTGCAATGCATGGGTGGGTCGCGCTTGACCCTGTCGCGTCTGCGGACTGGAGTCCGCTGGAGCTCCCTTCGAGGGCGGGGGAAAAGCCGGAAGGGGAAAGGGGGCGGCTAGCTTGGGTGGGCGGGCGGACGTTGACGTCGGTGGGGAGTGGGTGGGGAGGGGAGGGAAGGGAAAAGCAGGGCGGGAAGGAGGCCCGGGGATCGGGGACGCCGAGCGAGGCGCGGCCACGCGGGGCCTGAGCACCCTGCGGCCGCGAAATGGACTCGCCCGGGCGTCAGGGTGGCGAGGAACGCGGTGGCGCGGGGCCGACCCTCCGAAGGGAAGCGCGGCGTAAGCGTTATGGTGTCCCTGCAAACTGCACTCTGCGCTTTAGACTAAGGGCTACGTGCTCCTTGCTACACGGTATTAAATACACGGATAGAAGCGGTGAATCCGTGACATTGAATATAAGCACAAATCGTATATGCCGAACATTGTGCATTTGCGGACACGAATCAATACTTTTGTCCTTTGTGTAAACACAGAACCCACCAGCAACGCGTTTCTTGGCGATCAAATTATTTACATTTGCATTACAAATAAAAAATACTCTACATGTATTAGTTTCTCCAGAGAAAATGTATACAAATTGGCAGCGCTGGCTGTGAGAACAAAGGAACGAATCCTTTGTCTCATTTGATTTCGCATTTCTATAACGGTTTAGACGTATTTGAAAAATGTTTGTCCCAAAAGAACGGTAATAGGGAGGAAACATTTGTCATGTGTACAATTCTTTATTTTCTTTAGTTCCCGATCTCGGCGCTATTAATATAATAAGTAATTCCATCTACATCAGGGAATGAAATTTCTATTGCTCGTCTATAGATTAAGTTGTATTTACTTAGAATTATTAATAACTGTAAAAAGTCGACTTCCTTACCACAGTCGTGGAAGTCGCCGCGGGTCACGTCCAACAGAATAAATGGCCGCGTTGCCAGGGAGGGAACGGGAAAATTACTCGTTTTAGATGCGTCCGTGATTTATCATTTCTCTACGATTATCAAGAAGTAGAGGGACGCCGAGTGTAAAAAACATTTTCTTATTCTCACGTTCTCATATTAATTAGCGAGTAGCATGACAGTTAACTGAAAAGCTTAGCGTCTTTCCATAATGGGACTCTTCATTAGACTCTCTATACGTAGTATTTAAAAGTATTCGTTCGACTCACTCCACGGAGAACAATGGGCGGTTGCAGAATATTTCGGTCTCCTCTGTTCGTCCTTCCTCTGATTCTACAATTTAACATCAACTATTCTACCTTCCATAACTTTTGTGCGTCTCTTTATCGACCATCGTTGTTGTAGCATAAGGAATGATGAAAAGTATGAGTACATGCATAATTATAAACATTCCCAACAATTTCAAGATGATATCCATCCGACGCATTTCTGTGTGTGTTAACTACCAATTCCCAGAAATACGCTGGACGAACAAAAGCACGATCTCTTACTCACTGTATGCCAACTCAGTTGTTTTAATTAAAGGAAATAAAAAGGCTACACATGCGTTTAACAGGAATTTCACTCGTTCACCATTTGTTCCCAAAACCAATTCTATTTATTAATAGGTAGTCGCCGGTAATAGTAGCCGGTAATAGATTCAAATTCACAGTGCAAAGAATTTACTGCGGATTCTAGTCATGCAGTTATAAGAGTGCTTTGGCTCATCACTCCCACACATTGCGTCCGCGTGTACCGCCATAAGTAGCGTTCCTCAGGTACTTCTATAATAAATAAGCTGGTGCTCCAATTTCTTCAAACATCATTAAGAATTGTATTTATTTAATTTGTATTGCATTTTATCTGAATTCAGAGAACGGCATATTTAGGAAATAGGAACGTAACGATAATTCCGTCTTCCTTACGTGCATCATGCATCTGTAGCAGAGTAATATCTGTCTCACCGGCCAGCCGTCCGTACACCTGTACATCGAGCGTTTGTCCGTCAAGCGGAAAAAGTTCTAACCGATTTTCTGTTCGGAGAGCCAATAATAAGCGCAGGCAAATTATGTTTTTATCCACTCGCCCGTAAGAAAGACATGCGTCCATTTTTAAACACGCCCATGTGTCCTTCCGACCGTACCTAGGTTCCTCCAGTCTTTATTACGCGTGTTCGGCGCCCCAAGCGTCCGCCTGTGACACCTTTTGTTCGTACGCCCAAGTATCCGTCCCTGCAATAGTTAGGGGGTGCGTACCTACCTAAGAATCTATTCATAAATTCGTCAGACGGTCCGTCTGGGAGGGCGTGCATGCGTTCGTCGGTCCGGGCGTGCATGCGTTCGTCCGACCGTCCAGGCGTGCGTGCGTTCATTCGTCCGTCCGGGCGTGCGTCCCTCCGGAGGTGCATGCGTGCATTCCTCCGGGCGTGCATGCGTCTCTC